AAAAAAAAAAAAAAAAAAGGATCACATTGGCTGCTGTATTGAAAGTGGATTTCAAAAAGTGAAGGGTGTAAAATAAATTAGGATGTTGACATGAGAGATAATGGTAACTCAGACCAGGTTGTTAGCCTTGGTATTGATGAGGAATGATCACATTCTGCATTGTGATAGATTGGATGGTGAATGTAAAGAAAAGAAAAGGATGACTTCATTTTCTAATTTTTTAATCTTCTCAAGAACTGTGAAAGGAAATATTTTTGACCCTATTATGAACTAAGAAACTAAGGACAAAGACTTAGAATTTCCTTGATTTGCCAAAGCTGTGCAGCTAGAGAGCAGGATGAGGTTTCAAACTTGTGTTAACTCCAGAACCCATATTCTTTCTACAGCACCAATAATATAACATATCTAGTATAATGCCTACAACATGTTAGATGTACTTTTTGGTCTTAATATTTTCTTTTTACTCAGAGTCAAATTCTTTAAAAATTCAAAGTTAGTAGACAAGAAGAGTTCATATAGCCATAGTAATTGTAAGTTTAATCAATATATGGTTTTTTGGTTGGGATAAGTTATTTGCCTATTTTGTCTATGCTTCACAGTTTTGATAACCGTAGAAGTCTTAAAAACAAGAATACATTGGCATTTGTAGGCTCTTTTACATAGATTTCTAAACTTAGGGTCTTACTAAAATTAATATTTCTTGTGTGCCTGGAGATTTCATTTTCATCAGTTTATGCATAACCCATGGAAATTAAATATGTTTATGTTGTATATATAAACTTCATTATGCAAAATATGTTTTTTAAAGCATTTTAAATGCTAAAATTCTTGAAAGAAGCATTATGTTTAAAATCAAAGCAATTGCTATGGATCTAAGTATGAAACATTGAGATAGCATTTGATTTTTTTTTTTTTTTTTGTAGATGTAAAAGGCTTAATCTCCAGCCCTTAGCTTACCTTTGGCAGAGAAACCAGGAGAATTTGCTCCGAGAAATGATATCATCTAACATTCAAGCGGTGATCATCAAAGTAGCAGCTTTGGGTATGTAGCCAGACTATCAAGGAACTGTCTGTTACTTCATAGAATATTTCAGTTCACTAATCAGCACTTACATTAAAAAACAAAGAATGATTTAGAATATAAAAATGTGGAGTCACAAGCTGAAGAAATTGCATAAGCACCTTGTGTAAAGAAGGGGAAGTTTTAAAAGGGGCTTTTGACTATTTGCCAGTTGACTAATATTAAACTTTTTTTGAATATATAACTAGCTGGCTCTAAAACTGATACTGTGTAATGGTTTGTCAACTTAAGTTTTTTTTTTAGTATAATTTGGAATTCAGGTTTGTAGGAAACAGGAAATGTTCTCTTTATTTTGGGTTTTTTTTTTAAGCTTCTTAAAATATGTGTTTGACATAAAACACGATCTTTTCCTTGTATTTTCTAACATACTTTGCATAATATTAAAATAGAATGATCAGTTTTGTTTGTGTTATCAAGAATAAATGGGGTAGTGGGTGTTTGTTGCGGATAGTGCATGTTTGAGAGAATGTTATTTGATCAGATATCATAGACACAGCAAGCAGGTGGTAATCTGATTCAAATATGGAGATTACATATGAACACATTTAATTTGTTGTTTTGAATTTGTATAATTATATTCATTTCTGAGAAACCATAGGATTTCATGAACCTATTACAGAAAATGCCCTGAAGCCTCTGGGTTTCCAACGCCTCAGTCATGTACCTCATTTGAGAGTGTTTACCCTGCTGATCACTGAAATAAAGAGTTCTCACGATGAAGACTTTGCAGATAAATTCACATTTTAAATGGCATTAAAAGAAAGAGAAAGAGTGCAAATCCCATAATGTTTCTCCTTGGTAAATACCAAGCTACTCTCCTCTTGCTTAAGTTGAGATGTTGTCTCTTCAGTTGAAAGTCTTATTTGGAGAACTTGTTATTGATCTCCTTAGCTGTCAAAATGAAAAAATTTGAGGGAGTATTATGTTCTCATTTCTGAGAAAAGGTTGCTGAGCAGCTCTCATGATTAAAGTTCTCACTATAGGTATACTTGTCATAGGAGTTTCTGTGTGAATCTAATATAGAGTATACTCTCTTACTTTCTCTTTGTTTCTAGCTCTCTTTAGAATTTTCTAAGATTACATAGTTCTATAATGAAGTTCATGTGACACTTCACTGAAAAGTACAAATATTATTCCTTCTGCTACCAAATAAAAGACTGGATTAGGACCCAGCATACCTTATTGGAAAGACAAAGCCAAAGAATTTTACCTTCTTGCCATTTTTATAATAGTACATCCCTGTTATTGTGTGTCCTTTCATTTCTATGTGTGCCTTTCTGTACAGGTTAGAGATAGGGAATTAGGTGTACTAAAACTTTGGGTAAAGTATAAAATGGAGTTAATTTGTCCTTGGCATCTCAATTACAAAAGTGAATATCTGATTTTTACATTTACAGTACATGGTTTCTACTGATTACCTACAGGTGTGCAAATGGAAGTTATTCTTGAGAACAGTATTAGAGGTTTATTTTTATTGAGTGGTACAGTACCTCTGAAGACATAGTAACATATAAATGATGCAATATAGGTTTCTAAGCTTTTTTTCTCCCTTTTTAAGTGGTCAGAACAGGATTTAAGTTTAAAAATGGGACAACATGACCTTTCTATGGTCAATAAAACTTTGTGGGCCATTTTTCAATAAAATTGTCTTTTAATAGAAAATGGTCAATCCTACATGGATGTATAAAAATATATTTTTTGTAATTATGATACATAACCTTGAAGTCTTGTAGGCATCAATGAACTCATGAAATTTTCACATTAACAAGTTAGTGTTCAAAGGACTTTCTACTGATTTTTAGACTTACTTAAAAAAATGCTCATTGGATTTAAGGAAAATCTAACCTTTTAGAATTTTTTTTTATTATATGAGTATTCCATGAAAACGTTGTTATAAAATGTTAGCTTTTAGTAGATAATGAAAGGATTCCATGTATTTTCTATTCTTCTTTCTCCCGTCAACCACTTCCTTTCCCAGAGATACACATATAATTGATAATTGATTATCTTTCAAAATGACTTTTTTGTATATGTATGTGTACATATAGAAATACTATGATTGTTTTATGGGTTTGTATTATTACATGATTGGTATCTTGCTCTGTATTCTCTTTTTTACTCAGCATTATTGTGAGCATCCCTATGTAATCAACATCCAAATCTATATGCAGAGCATTGCTAACATCCTCCTGGCCAATACTTTCCCTCCCAAAGGTTACAGCTCTCCTGACACCTAAAACTGTAAAATGGTTTTTTTCTGTGTTTGAATTTTATGTAAATATAGTAAATTCTCTATTGTATCTGACTTCTTATACTCAATGTTATGTTTAAGGTATTCATCCATGAAGCAGTAATGTATTCCATTCTTATTGTAGTGGGGTGTTCCATTGTAGAAATATACCACAATTTAATTATCCATTCTATTGTTGATGACATACAGGTAGTAACTAGTTTGGCACTATTATAAATGGTGTTGCTGTGAACATATGGGGTTATCTTGTACATTTTCTGTCTCAGACCTAGAACATCCTTTTCTTCTAGAAACTCCATTTTTTAAGTGTAAAATTATTTATCTTTATATGTGTATATGCATATCTAATAATTCCTGAGATTGTGGTATTTTGAAATCAAATTCAAGACTGTATAAGGATTATAATAATTCTGTATTCCAGCTCTGCCGCCTTTCTTCTACAATGAAAAATCTTGATTATCAAGCACACAGGAGATTTTATTTATTAGAAAATCCCATAATTTCTGGGAGCAAAAAGACCAAATAGCAGGTCTCCAATTCATTTTTTCCAGTAACTGGACTGTTCTCCCTAGAGAGAAAGAAGGAAGAACTTACATAATTTCCTTATCAACATATTAATTACAGACCTCATGGCAAAAAAAAAAAAAACACACACATATACAAACAGATCACTAATAATATTTATTAGAGGGTAAAAGTCCTTACCTTTGGACTGTTTTTAACAGGATATATCTAGTTGCTAAAAAAGAGAGATGATAATTGGAGAAAAAGCATGAGACCACTTTTGCTCATTACTGGGAAACTTTCTGTGTCTTAAAAGATGTTTGTAGAGTAACTATATTGATCACTAGAAAAACTATACAGGTTTAAGGATTAGCTTACTCAGTTAAAATGATTGTGTGAAAAGAAGTAAGGTCAAGACTCTGTAAGGCTTCTAGGATTGGGAGATGGGAATGATGGGAAGGCGGGGGATGCAAGTACACAGTTGTTTATCTCTTTCCCATTTCATAAAATTTTCTTTTGTTTTGCCTGATCTGGTGCTGCTCAGCCTGAGTTTAAAGTTGTGTGTACCAAAGGAAAGTGTTATCGATGCACAGAACACATTATCAATACCATTGTATTTGAAAGCACATATTCTTTTTTTTTTTTTTGAGTTGGAGTCTCACTCTGTAGCCCAGACCGGAGTGCAGTGGCCGCTCCCGGCCACTGCAGCCTCGACCTACTGGCCTCCGGTGATCCTTCCGCCTCAGCCTTCTGAGTAGCTGGAATTACAGGCGTGCGCTACCACGCCCAGCTAATTTTTTGATTTTATTGTAGAGATGAGGTCTCGCCTGCCCAGGCGTGTCTCGAACCCGTGGGCTCAGGCAATCCACTCACCTCAGCCTCCCAAAGGCGTAGGATTACAGGCTGAGCCACCAATTCCTAAAAGCCTTTAGGGCTATGCATAACTTCACTGTGTGTAGGCAAATTAAGGCCTATCTGTAACACAGAGCCAAGTGTCCTGTGATTCTTGTCTATTAAACCCTGTAATCTCTACCAAGGGTAAGTGTCAGTAAGGCTGCTGTTTTTATTGGCCCGGTGGGTTTACATCTGTTGAGCCAGAAAACCCAATCATAGGGAAAAGGTATGGGTCAAAACAGTTAATAAATGGAAATAGAGGGAAGCATAAGAAATGGAAAGGCACTTCTATGAATTACAGTTCTGTGGAGGGATACTATCATGTGGCCTCCATGCCAGAGCCTCAGAGTTAGGTAGGGAATAATACTCTTGGGGATCTCACTCAGATTTGATGCTAACCTAACTGATTTTGAAAGAACACTCTGGATGTGTTTTCTGCAGAGAAGGGAAATTGGTGATATGCAGGGTCTACCTAAGGAGAATCAGAATATTTAGAGCAATAAAGTGACAGAGTGCCAATTGATGACTCAATGTTGGGATAAGTCCCCATAGTTACCACTCATTTCTTGGTTTATGGGTTATATGTTTGTGGCTTGAACTATGAGAAGGTTAGGGATACCAACCCCCAGCACAGCTGAAAATCTGCTTATAATTTTTGACATCTCAGAACCTAACTATTAATAGACTACTGTTGACCAGAAGCCTTACCAATAACATAACCAATTAACACATTTTGTACATGTATTCTTACAATAAAGTAAGCTGGAGAAAAGAAAATGTTATTCTTAATCATAAGAAAGAAAAAATACATTTACAGTACTAGACTGTATTTATCTATACCATAAGTTTTTGTCATCTGATTGTTTGTAAGATAAATCACCTATCCGAAATGGCAGGCAGTCACAGCCACAAATCTCAGTCTATAGTATATATCAAGCAATTCAACTTTTTCTTATAGTGTCATAACTTTTCTCTGCTTCTTGGGAGCACTTCCAGCATCACTACTGGCACTTTGTATGGGTCTCATGGTATTATTCAAGGTATACGGTATTGCACTAGCATGATGAAAAATATGTAAGAACCATGATACACAATTTACTGAAGAGAAAAACTGCTCATGGGGAGATAATTGGTGTCACATGATTAGCATCACAGGGCATCTTAAGCAAATAATTACAGCACTTGAGCTCACCTCAATAGCAACAAGGGTGGCTATGAAATTATGATAGTGTGCCAGGCTCGGTGGCTCAGCCTGTAATCCCGCGCCTTTGGGAGTCTGAGGTGAGTGGATTGCCTGAGCCCGCGGGTTCAA